ATTCTAAATCGATCTAACCATGTCTGTCCGTCCGTCTGTTGTAATCCCGCTATCTTCTGAAGGAAATTAGTTATGGTGCTGAAATTTTGCATAGGGTTGTCTTTTGTTTGCAGACATCAAGTTCGAAGATGGAATATATCGGTTCGCGTTTAGGCGTACCTCCCATAAAAGGGTACCCTCAAATTTTCTTTATTTTGGGGTTCTTGAGCGCATTTTTCAACCGAATTCGTTTAAATTTAGTACGTTGGGTTTTTATTGGGTACTAAATTTCGCCACAAAAATTATAAATATAGGTCCACTTCTTCTGGTAGCCCCCATAAAACGGTACCTCCTAATTTTCAGTATTTTGGGGGGTTTTGACCTTTTCTTCCACCGAATTCAATGTAATTTAATATTTTGAGTTCTTAGTAGGTACCAAATCTCTCCACAACAATTATGAATATAAGTCAATTTTTTTTGGATACCCCCAATTTTCGGTATTTTGGGGTTAATGAGCGCGTTTTTCAATAGAATTTGCTGCAATTTGGTATTTCGTATATGGTAACAAATCTCCTTACCAAAAATTATTAATATTCACCCCCTTTTTGGAGTAGTCTCATATAACCCCCTTTTTATATAAACTAGCATATGTTCGCAACTTCGTTAGCGAATGTAGGAACTATTTAAGCATGCATTAATATATTATTTTACTTTCACAGCAAACTACATATATCAGAAAAAAACATCAGAAACAATCCACAAATTAATATGTACCATAAATCAAATTTGAGTACCATTTAGTACCAAATTCCATTTAGCTCACATTATTTCCATAAGTACCCTCTTCAACCATCCAACAAAACTTCATGCATACCCCGATCCTACACCCACACAATGATTCCAAATTCAAATTTCAGGATTCCACCTCTATTGGTTCACACACAATTTAAATTGTACCAAATTTAGTACACAGTAGTACGAATTTCCAAAACTTCCTACTTAACCCAAACCAACACCTCCACAGTGATCCTAAACCAAGATTCAAACTCTATCAGTTCACCCACAATTCAAATTGTACCAAATTTAGTACACAGTAGTACCAAAAATCCAGATTTCAACCCCATCGCTTCAACTACCATTTGAATTGTACCAAATTTAGTACACATCAGTACATATTTCTAAAACTTCCTACATATTTCAATCTTACACCTCCACAGTGATCCTGACTCCAAATTTCATGATTCTAACTCTATTGGTTCACCTAAAATTTAAATTGTACCAAATTTAGTACCCATAAGTATTAATTTGTTAAAATGAATCCTGACCCTAATCCTACATCCCTACAATGATCCTAACTCCAAATTTCATTGTTCCAGCTCTTTCGGTTCACCCTAATCCAAATTGTACCAATTATAGTACGATTTAGTACTTTTCGTACACGTAAGTAAAAACTTTCCAAAACTACGTACATATCCCAATTCTACACTCCGACGGTAATGTTAATTTCAATTTTCAGGATTCCAGCTCGATTTGTACCTCCAAATCAAATTTGTACCAAATTTGATTCCATATAGTACTTTTCGTACACATGAGTACACGCTCTCCAAACTATCCTCATATCGACCCTACTTCTCAAACCTTAATTTGCATTCCAAATTTCAAGTTTTTAGCTCAATCGATTCATATGCTACGAAATTGTACCAAATTTAGTACATTTCAGTACTTTTCGGATACTTATAGTTCGAATTTCCAAAAAGCCCTTTGCTACATCTATTTTACACTCCTCAATTTTACACTACTCAATGACCCTCGATCCAAATTTCAGAGTTCTACCTCTACTGGTTCGCCAAATACAAATGATACCATATTTAGTACTTTTTAGTACTTTTCGTACCGTTCTAGTACGAATTTCCAAAAACCCAGCCTCTTCTGACACCTTTGGACCAAGAGAGACCCTCACCTAAAATTTAAAGATTCTAGCTTCAGCCGTTTCGTCTGGGCATTGATGAATCGTTAAATCAGTCAGTCAGTCAATCACTTTCCTCTTTTATTAGTAGGTATATATATATATATATATATATAGATAGTTATCGGATATGTTCCGCGTTATGAGTTTGGTTCTAAGACTCTGTTGTAATCATTTCACCTGCGGAGGATAGCGAGATAAAAAAGTATGACGTAAGGTTCGATAATGAGCATTTAGACCTAGCCCCTGTGTGGAGGTTCCAGATGAAGTGGATCGATATTCCCCATCTTCGAATTTTAACTAAGTTTGGGAGAAACAATAATATGGGCAAAGTTTGTGTGAAATCCAAATTTTTTGAAACGGATTTGGTCCAAAGAAACATGGGGTCTAGAACCAATATTTCGATGAGGCACATTTTCACTGTGTTAAAATTTATACACCCTCATTAGCCATAAGGCTGATGGTATAATTATCCATTAAACATTTCTGAAATTTGTATTACGGTTTACATAATCCGTTTTTAGAACGGAAATACAGGGAACATACCACTTCTTGGTATGTTCCCTGTATTTTCATTTCTAGTACTTGTCAGTATATCTATGGTGGAGGGTATCCAAAGTTCGGCGCGGCCGAACTTAACGCTTTTTTACTTGTTATTGAATCAAATTGTTTCAAAATACATACATACATTTGTACATATTATTGAACCATCCAGGTCGTAACTTGGGCCTATATTAGATTTTGTTGTGTAAATATTTGTCTAACAAAACTTGGAATGTACGGACCTCTACTCAATTATTTCTATCTAGAAAAAAACACTTCGAAGCTAATCTCCGCCTGTTTCCTCGTCAAAACTGGTCCGATTAAGCAACGTAGAACATCAACTGTGGTAATGAACAAATAATGACGAATCGTTTTCAAAACTTTGCATACATTAATCTGGACCTAATTCAGTATCCTGTGCAAAATTGTATGACAGTCGGCCTAACATTGAGTAATTGGTGTACAATTTATTAAAACCGGACAAAACTATATATAAGAGCTATATCTAAATCTAAACCGATTTTCACGAAACTTAACACAAATCATTCTAGACTTAATTCAGTACGCTATGCCATTTTTTCCCCAAATCGAAAGATATGCAAAGACTTTAATAAACCATTTACATTAAATCGGACGAAAATATATATAGGAGGTGTATCGAAATCTGGACCGATTTTTCCAAAATAGAGTTCGTCCTTATTTTATATTTGTTTACAATTTAGCATGGACAAACAGACAGAGGGACGGAGGTGCATAAATCGACTCAAAAGGAACCATGTGTCTATCTCGTTTCGTTTTGCCTGTTACAAACATATGCACAAAGACATAATCCCCTGTACCACAGCGTGTTGGTCCCAGGTCCCAGCTTAAATATCACACATTCAAGTTCGATAAATTTCATGACAATGTTCTTTCGAAAAGGAGGATGCTGTTAAGTGACATATGTAGAATATACTCAAAATGGTGAAAGGTATATATAGTCGGTCCCGTCCTACTTTACCGCTTTCCTTACAGGTTTTATCTTGGCGAAGTTGTAAATTTTGTGATTTCCATTGAATATCTTTAATTCGAAAAATGCATTTATCTGTAATTTATGTAAATTCGTGTGCATTATTATCAATTATCTACATACATTCCCTTACTTCCACCTATCTTGAGAGAAGTTCGAATGTGTAAATGTTTTCCCTGGAATATGATCCCAAATATCTAGTGGTTATAAAATAACAGTCGGATTTGTCAATAGATAAGTACATATTTTACCACATCTGTGAATAATGATGGATTTTGTGATCAGATTTCATAAAATTTCACGACGTTTAGAAAAAATAAGGCACAGCCAAATGTTTAAAACGTTAGAGTTTCATGGACATTTTCGTCTGCAAATCGTCTAATAATCGAAATATTACCACCTATAAGGCTGTGGGAATACAAGTGGGAAATTATTATGAATTACTTAAGTTCGGGGTTAAGTTCTTTCTCAGATTTACATATAGCACACATATATATTTTTGTCCGGTTTGTTAGAACTGTGCACCAAATACCCAATGTTGAGACGAATTGAGACGAAATTTTTGCACAGTGCACATAGGGGAAATGTATATTAAAATGTAAATTGCAAAACAGCGTAATCCAGTTTTTTTTTATATATAAAAAGAACTATTAGTGGGAAAAGTATGGCATTGTCCAATAAGGGGTAAGACAAGGAAGACTGTCTTCTTCGGATCTCGCCATTGATCCTCATCAGTTCCTTTAGTTCTCTATAAGGGATATTCTCCTAAAAAGCTATTTGTAGCTCATTTAAAAAAGTTACGAACGAGACATTTGTAAACAAATTCATATATAATCACCCATTAATTCAAAATCACGTTTCGATGTTTCCATAATTTGATCTGGTCGATGCACCTAATCGTAATATGTAATCCAGGGTCAATCTGATATTCGATATAGCATACATATATGAATCAACGCGCAATAACTCAATTGTTGGGTTCCGTACGGCTATGGTCCTTTCCTCACTACTTATTTTTCCATTACTCAACTAAATTGTAGTTTAGTAGCTTCGTATCCACAGTATTTTCAAAAATGTTATTTCGATAACTATCTGTTTTAAATAGTATTTTACCTAGTACGTTAGCTAAAGTAGTATAATATTTGTTGTATTTAGTAAAATTAAAAATCTATCAATCGTTGTATTATATATTCTTCATAAGGGAATGAGCTTTTTTTATTTAAATTTAGTATGAACCTTCCTTACTCCTAAAGATCCAATTTTCTAATGTGATAAAAATACAATTTTACTAATTATTGTGTAATTCAAATTTACATTTATTTCTAATCAATGAAATGAATGAATTTATTTCCGGATTTATATGTTTGCGGTAAATGTTGTCTTCAGTTCATTTTTAATTCAATAGTGTGTTAAAAAAATCGAAAACAACAATAACTACTAAATTAGATACTAATTTACAAAAATAGTTTGGGGGTTTTTTACCCAAATTGTTGACCACCCAGATCACTTGGCATTTTGTGGATGGAATTTTAGCATATGTTTACGCCACTGAGAACGATATGTAAAGTCCTGGACACATTCATCACACTTGTAGAGATAGTTGCCGGTGTGTTTGGCCATATGTTCACGCAAACTGTCACTTTTCGTATAGCTCTTTTCACAGTAGGTACAGTGATGTCTGCGATCCGAATGAAATTTAGAAACATGTTGCCGCAAAATTACCTCACTCGAGAACATTTCTTTACACTGCTGACATTTAAACTGTTTAGATGCGATTTTCTGCACCAGACCCTGTTTATACCGAACACACTGGCGGGTATGACGTACCAAAGTAATTTCTTGTTCGAAACATTTATGACAGGCCTTACACTGGTACGCGACATTGCGATTTTGATTAATATGATTTTCGTAATGCTGGGGGGCATTGTATTTGCGGCCACAACAGTAAATATAAAATTCCTTTCCTCTGTGTTTTTGGCAAAAATGATTGCGATATGAGGCAATGTTATCACTTATCTTGGTGCATAGACGACATTTAATAGGTCGAGGGCCGGGGCAAGATTTTGTATTTTGTGTATTATTAGAAGATTTCTTAACATTTTGAGCATGGTTCGCCAGTTGCTGCTTGTTAAATTGTTTCTCGGTATAGTTGCTACGGTGCATGTCCATTGGTTTCGATTTATTTTGAGGCTTGTTAACATTTTGAGCATGATATGCTTTTGCATTTTGGTTATGGTTAAAATGTTGGTCGCTATAGTCCATCCGTTCCGTTTTATTTATTGACATTAGCTCTGAGGGTGCATCATTATCGCCGAAAATTAATTCCGGCATTAACATATCATCAAAAGCACTATCTGGACTATCGGTTATGATCTCATCGTCTCGTGGTTCATCTTTAATGTGCAATCTTTGAGGAAATATATCCTTTTGTTTTTCTTTTCGATCGTTGACTTTGGATTTTTTACTTTTTTCCGAGAGTTTATCCTGTGCCACGGTAACAGTTTGTTGGAAATTGTGGAAATCGGCAATGTGACACCAACAATCATAGCATAAAACACGCATATCATTCTGTTTCAAAAACTGTAATCGAAAGAAAGTAAATTAATGAATAACCACAGCACCAAAACTCCATTTGAAATCACCTACCATTGGATCAAAATATCGCACAGTAATTTCATAGACTTCCAAATCATCGAAGAGCGGCCTGAAGTTACTGCATTCATTAACACACAATCGGCATATTTGTTTATCATCCATTTTGTTGATATTTTTAAGATCCTGATATTCCTGTTTAGAGACAGACACACTGGCGGCACATTTATCCTTCGACTGCGACTACAATACTAAACCACTGCTGCGATTATTCCAAAGGACTCTAGGGACAATGTTGCAATTTTCTACCTAAGTGGAAACAGGTATACAATTGTTTGTCGCGTTTTTCCTTGAAACACACAGCAGATGTCCTTTAACGAATTGCTGTCATACGTGGATTAGCGAAATGCCTGTGTAATAAACAAATTAACTTATAAGAATTTCCTTTTAATTATTAGTCTTACCTGTAATACAAAGTGCTGGAAATACTAAGAACACAATATTTTTATGGATAGGTTTATTTTTGTACTTCAAAGACTTATTTTGTATTTTTCCAGGATCTGTTCATGATCTCTGAAACAAACTCTCTTTTTTGTTGTTGTTGTTTGTTTTAAAAACAAGCCGCTCTATAAATGATGTTGCCAGATAACAAGAAACTGGTGTTAACAGGGTGAGTGTGCAGAGATGGAAAACAAAACAACGGAATTATGAGCACGTATAAACCGAGTGACCTAATGTGTTTACATCGGAGATTAATATGATATTTAGATAGTAAATCAAATAAATGTATGCTTGTCATAAAACTCTGTATTTGCGTCGTTTATAACTTATTTAAAATCATGATTAACAGCCTGTTTTTGTAAAATTTAGTATAGGCGTATTTACGAACATGAAGTTTTTCCATTGTATTTTACATAAATCACTTTCTGTGACCAAACTCCTTGGTTTTTAAAAATAGGTCATTTATTTTTGTTTTGATCAAAAAATATTTGTTAAAATAAACAAAGGTTTGGTCGTAAGTCACTCGTAGGTAAGGGCCATTATTCGTTCGTTTAGAATTTTACAAAAATAGGCTGTAAATCTTCAAAGGTTTTCTATGTATAAAACCTACAGTCTCAGATTTTTGCACGAATTGGAAGTTCAATTTAGTATAGGCGTATTTACATCGAACATGTTTAAGTTTTCATTTCCATTGTATTTTACATTAATCACTTTCTGTGAAAATCACGCTTAAAGGTCAATGAAATAAAGTATTACGATTTACAAAGTTTGAACTAATATTTGTAAAAAATATTTGGTCTGTTCCAGAACTTTTTTAATAGTAAAGATAGTAAAAGGGAAACATTTCAAAATCGCTCTCAGAGCAAAAAAAAAGTTCGGGAACGCAAATATGGTAAATATGCTAAAATTAGATGGCAATACTTCAAAATCAACATAACTGTGTGTGTGTGTGTTTGAAGGCAATCCTCAGTTCCTTAAGGCCGCAGGAATTGGCGATCCGTGAATACACGTGGCCAGGTTTTCTTCCAAAAAGGTATTATCCAAAAACGATCGTACACCAGGTACAAAGGACCTCTCGCATAAACAGTAAAATCAACATAGCAGCCAGTCAGAAGTAGGCATTCCTGTTTACCATTTTTAACCGGCCAAATTTCTCGAGCAAAAAGTTTACAAAGAGAACGCCATTTTGTTTTGTGCTCTCTTAAATTAGATTCAATGTTTTACCAGTTTTGTGGGTTCAGGAACGGTTTTCGAGTAAAAAGTTGCAAAACTTGTAAAATTAGCAGATTCTTTTAGGTTCTGGAACGGAACTTTTATAGTACACTTATATACTACCGAATTTATAAAATCCAGTAGCTATACGTCGAATATGGCATATAGCTACTTACATATATGTCAAATATGAGAGAGATTAGCAAGTTTTGAAAGTGTTGACTAATTTGATGCGGAGGTACTTTGAGTGAATCGATATTCCTCATTTTCGAGCTTAAGACTTCTATTAAAATAATTTTTTCAAATTTTTAAAAATAATTTTTCATGGATTAAAAATAGGCCTGGCTTATAAATACACGTAGATTTTTTAAAATAATTTTTCAATGATTATAAAGGGGTGGATGTTTTACAATTAAATTTTCAAGGATTAAAAATAGGCGCGGATTTACTAAAATAAATTTTTCAAGGATTTTAAATAGACGTGGATTTTTCAACATTAATTTTTAAGCAAGGCCTGGGGTTTTAAAATTAATTTTTCTGATAATATAAATGGGCGTAGATTTTTAAAATTAAATATATTTTCAAGGATTATAAATAGACTTGAATTTTTAAAATTAATTTTTCAAAATTTATAAACAAACGTGGATTTTTTAAATTAATTTTTCAAAAATTATAAACAGACATGGATTTTTTAAATTAATTTTTCAAAAATTATAAACAGACATGGATTTTTTAAATTAATTTTTCAAAAATTATAAACAGAACTTTAATTTTTTAAATTAATTTTTCAGAGAATATAAATAGGTTCAGATTTAGATATACCTCCCATATATATTTTCGTCCGATTTAAAGTAAGTGGTGCACCAAAAACCCTTTTATATCTTTCGATTTGCACGAAATCTGGCAAAGCGTGCTGAATTAAGTCTAGAATGATGTGTACTAAGTTTCTGCAGCTGCGGTCAAAATAATAGCAGCGTAATGCATTGAAATATTCCTACTGAAGAAACGCATATTCGTTTTTTGAAATCTCGTAATGTTTTCTGTTCACATTACAGTTAAAACGTTAACAATTGATATCTATTTTGTAATTATAACAAACAATTTTATATTTTGAAAATATTGTGTTAAAAGGGGTATATTCTTGAAAGAGGTCGGTAAAAAAATAGCAGCCGCAATGAAAACATGACATGAATTCATATTAGGTTTTTATATGAAACACAAGCATTTTATATTCAGCATAAAGAACCATAATATGATGCATTTAAAATCCAATATCTAGGTTCATCTTCGCAGTACGAGAAAAAAACGCTCAAAGAGTCATATATGATCCACTTTCTTCGATAGTTTTAGCGATCAGATTTTTTTTCTGTGGACGTCTTATATATTGTCCGGATCCAGTTTCACCATAAAAAATCACAGCATGTTCCTCCGTTTTCCAAATATTGATTGTAAGGTGTGCAGCTATTATTTT